AAATAAATAAATAAATAAATAAATAAATAAATAAATAAATATGCATTTGAGGTTTGGGAAAGTTATTTCATATATGTTGACATTGTTAGCCACCTAGATTCTTCATGAATGAGAAGCATAATTGAGAGAGAGAGAGAGAGAGAGAATAGATAGAAGAGTGTGAGTCATATTGAACATATCCACAGAATTTTACATGTGTAGGAATGTGCCTATTTTCATCTTTGAAACAGTTTAGTGTACTTCAGTCATTCTAATCAATGTTTATTTTCTCTCCAACATGTGATCAGAAAATAGACCTCAGCTTCTTGTGAAAGCAGAGCAAGCTAAAGTCTTCTCAAATCGTGGTGCCAGTGTTACACTGCCATGTAAATTTTACCGTGACAGTACATTACCTGACTCAGGATTCCACAGAGTTCGTGTCAAGTGGACCAAACTCACCTCAGATTACCTCAAAGAAGTGGATGTCTATGTTGAAATGGGCTACCACAAAAAAAGTTATGGAAATTACCAAGGAAGGGTATTCTTGAAGAAAAGCACTGAAAATGATGCCTCTCTTGTAATCTCAAATTTAATGCTGGAGGATTATGGGAAATACAAATGTGAAGTCATTGAAGGTTTAGAAGATGACACAGCTGTTGTAGCTCTAGACTTAGACGGTAAGCATCCTAGCAAAACAGAAATTGTTTAATAAGAATTATTGCTACTACTATTGTTCATATAATATTGCTTTCATATCTTAATATAACAATCTACTCTGTTAGAATCCAGCCAGATTAGACATTTTTCTTGAATTAATAAGAAATATTATATCAATTTAATGGATGAGTTAGGTTTGTTAACCTAAATTTTATTTCTACAGAATTTTTTGAGGGAGCTTTATTTATTGTCATGTTCAAACATTATAAAATAAGTTAATTCAACATAAGAGTTTAGGATAACTAGCTCTACCCCTGACATCATGCAGATGCTACAGGGATGTGTCCATAATATCAGGACAAACCTCATGAAGACAGAAGGCCTTACTTATATGTGAAAGTCTTCATGGAATCGTGATCTGGATGGTGTGGATGCCCGTGTTACTAAATCCAAGGTGTCTTTCCTTCAGGTTTTGTTTGTTTGTTTGTTTAATTCTATTTCAAATTCACCTGACTCCTTAACAAGTCTGGGCAGCATACAGTTAAAGAGAAAAACAGCATATATAGAAGCAATCATAACTGATAAGAAAAACTACCACTAAAAAAACAAAACTATGGGGACTCTGCAAAGCCTAAGAGAACAATGAAGCTTTTTAAAAAAATTCTGAATGTCATTATGGTGAGAGCTATATGAATCTCTGGAGAATGCCATTCCAGAGGGCAGGTGCTGCGACCGAGAAGGCATATTTTCTGGGTCCTGCAAGGTAATACTCTTTAATTGATGGGACCTGAAGCCTGCCCACTCTGAACATACAGATTCTTGAGTTGAGCTTATCAGTATTTTCTTACATAAGCAAAACAATTGTTACTTGAAGTGGATGACCAGTAATAAGGCTAGGTGTCCCTCAAGATTGGTCTTAAGGGACAAAAATATACGTTTCAACCATTTGCTCTTGATCATTGATCACTTTATGTGAAATGGGCGGCTATATAAATATAATAAAGAAATAAAGAAATAAAATAATTCTGTTTGCTATTTATAAATTCACTATATGCCCTAAGTCCATAAACAAGATCAGAAGATATATAAGATCTAGGACTTGCTATACTAGATTTAGTTTGTATAAAGCTGAGAGTCTACAGAAGTGATCAAATATTTTTTTAAATTTACCACACACTAATCTGTCAGCCTCAAACAGCATAACAATAGCAAAATACTCTGGCAATTGATAACCAAAACTTGTGACCCCCCTGAGGATATGTATTCATATTATCAGAACATTGGCAGAAGAATGAATCATAGTTTACTGATAGACTAAATACTAGAATAGACTTTAATGGTTTTAATAGAAAAATTGTTCTCATACTGTATAAGATCAGACTTTGGAAATGGTGTAGATTTATATACTTTGAATTCAGAAGATCCCAGTTTCTGGAATCTCAGGTAGTCCAAACCTTAATTGCTTAATATAGCTTAAGCATAATCTGTAATAAGTGAGAGTGATATATTTTGAAAGAATAAGCAAATTTTCTTTCCAATATTACAGTATTACTAGTTGGAAAAATGCTCGCTTAATTACATTATAGTGGAGAATACAGCAAATTTTACTGTATTTCATGTTGACTGTATAAGAAGTCTGACTTCCTTGTTTAGACAAATACAATTTCTCTATTCTGAAGGCTAGCCTTTTCCTGTTGCACATGGACTTATGGTACAGGAAATTTAAGTCTATATGTAAATGCTGAGTAATTCACCTTAAAATGAATAACTGACTATAGTGTTCAGTAAGAAACTACAGTGTAACAGTTAACATCCTAAACTTGGTTATGATAGAAGACAAAAAATAATCACTGAAAAATTGCACTGATGAAAATATGTTCATCCCCTGCTCCTAAAAATCATAGAAAGCAGGAATTAATACCAGGAAAAAAAACTATATACAGAAGGTGTTAGGAAACGGATGTATCAAAAATTGTCAATCTGTAAAGATTTAGGGAAATGTCAGTATGTAAAGCTGGTAACTTGAGTTTTCAAATGGAACAAAAAGGGAATGACATGATCCTGGGAAAATAACCTTTTCTGTTGGGTGGATCTTCGAAGCTAATAGCCAATGTTCCTCAGCAATCATATCTTGGCAGGATGGCTTTAGATAGGGCAAGAATATATATAAGCCAACTCCTTGGCTAAATAAACTAATATTCATTCTGTAGTGAAAAGCAGATGTTTGGGACTGTGCTCTAGTTAACTTAAGACAGTCTTTCAGTGTCAGAGGGCCTCAGCTTATAAAAACTATTCAAAACAACTGATTGTTACCGTCATTGCTATGCGGTGGACAACTGCAATTAGCCATCCTCTTAAACAATATACTGGGTGATCCTATATGTCAGATTATTTATTGTAATACAGAAAACATTTTCCTATTAAAACTACAAAATGCTACAAAATGCATATATTATTTAATTTGCCAATTTCTTCCCTTTGAGTTATCATACTATATACTCACCTGATATTGAACAAAACTATTTGAGTGCAAGATTTATTTTATTACTGGTACATTTATCATAATATTTAATATTTCCAATGATGGTAATAACATCTTAATAAGGGAAGTATTACAGTTTAACCATCAAGTAAGAACTTGATAGTTTTTTATTGACAGGTTGTAAATAAAAACTTGAACTTTTTTTTTTTTTTAAAGTACATTCTCAGGTTTTTGTTAGCATAATCACCATTTATGTCCTGGCACTGATTGGTAGTATGTATTTCTGAAAGGCATGGCAAAAATGAGAAATTATATTTATAATTTCTAATTATAATTATATATATATTTATATTAGCTAGCTCTAATTGAAATTAAGTGTTATTTAAATTTAGTTGTTCTGGAAGTGACCTATGTAAATATAATTGGGCTTCAGCCTATGCTTATTTGTTTCAAAGCACTAAGATCAGATGCAAACTATATGATCAAATTTACATGATTTTACATTATGGTAAAAAAGCAGCTCTACTATGGAATTGTATGTGTGTGTGTGTGTGTGCACAGTGGGGATGGAACTATAGTGTTTGTAAAAACAGGAGGATCAATCTTCCTACTTCTCCCATTTCTTTTTTTCATTTTGCCCCTCTTACAAATTAACTGGACTGTTTGTCCAAGTCAAACCAAATTAAAACAAAAACAAAAAACTATTCAGCAAATGAATCATTTGCAACAAAGGAGAGCCTTATCAGAGTTCTGTTTACTTGGAAATGAGACATAATTCTGTCAGTAAATGATAGAGTTCTCACAATGTTTCTTATTGGAAATCATGGGACATCTAGAGTTTGGTGGGAAACGACTCATGGATTATAGAAAGCCTACTTTCCGTTACTTACTGTTTTTTTCTGATTTAAACAAAAATGAAATATCTTCCATGATGTTATATCAGAAAAGGTGATTTAGGCTTAAGTCAGAAGAAATGTATACATCTTTAAATCTTTTGGTTGTTCTGACTTATGGCTTTTTTATACTGGATGGACCTGATGGAACAGCCTGAGTTTGAATGGGAAGGGGAAATTTGTTGGCTGGAGAATGTACTGAGTACTGATTTCTTTTCAGCATTTATATCCTGCTTTTCCTCCATTCTGTTTCTTAAATTAAACATCTTATTTCAGAGGAAAAAAAATCAATTTTAAGAAGGGAATGGAAGCTTTACACACATACCGGGCCAGTGTCAACAATCTCCACTGTTTGATTTGATCTGGTAGAGTTTCCAGTGTTACTGTATTCATAGGGCCTTCTCACTTACAAAATATGGGAAAGAATTAAATTTCAGGTAGAGCCAATAGCTACTGTTGTATTTTCTCTTGTGGCTATAGCATTAAAGATAAAACCAAATTTAAGTTATGCCTTATTTGATAGCTTCTCATTTCAATCTACATCAAATGACAAATTTTCTGGCTGACCATAAGGTTCATGTGCCAACATCAAACAATCCATTTTCCTGCTTGCTCTTTTGAACAGGTGTGCTAGTAATGAGGCAGTGAAGCCAAAATAATGTTGTCTGATAGGTGAAAGCCCACATTTGATATTGGATGAAGAACTGGTGGCATTCCAGCAGGAAAGAGTGAACTTTGATTTGTGGTCTAAAGAGACAGTCAGACAAAACTCTTAGACTAAACAGTTCACTTGTTGTCAGGCAGCATTCCCAAATAAAAATTTAACAGATTGCTGTTTTGGTGATATGTACAAATAACCTCTCCACTCACTCTTCCATCTATTCTAACTATATACATGTAAATAAAGAATCATTTTTGGAATGCCTTTCAGATTGGGGGAGCACCACTTATTTTTTTCAGCTTCCATCTGTAAATGAGCTTCCTCATTTTCAGCAGTGCTGTGATATAAGTAGGGGCAGACCAACATTTTTGCACTAATTTTGTTTTCAGACAAAAGAGTAGAAAAAATGTGCCACTGAAAATAAGCAAGTTTGCTGCTGAATTTAGGTGGCACCATCTGAACATAGTGCAAAATGAAGGCTTAAAGGCTCAGGCATCCTGCCAGCTCTGGGTTGCCCTTCCTTGATTTATATAGTCAGTCATCTTTTCCTCTTGTTCTCTCTTTTAGGCATTGTATTCCCTTACTTCCCACGAATGGGTCGTTATAATTTAAATTTCTATGAGGCTCAGCAAGCCTGCCTCGACCAAGATGCAGTTATAGCTTCATTTGACCAGTTATATGAAGCATGGAGGTCGGGACTGGACTGGTGCAACGCGGGCTGGCTCAGTGATGGGTCAGTACAATATCCAATTAGAAATCCCAGGGAGCCTTGTGGTGGGAAGAACACAGTGCCTGGAGTCCGGAATTATGGCTTCTCAAATAAAGAACAAAGCAGATATGACGTCTTTTGTTTTACCTCTCATTTTACTGGTAAGGAACTTAACTCCTTGGAAGTTCTCTGGAGTGAAAAGTAACACTCAGTATTAGTTTTTATTTATTTCAGAAGGAATCATAACTGAGATGTTCAGTGTGTGTTTTACGTGCAAAAAGTCCCAGATTCGATTTCAGTTCAAATTCAGTTCAATTCATCAATCCCTCTATTTAAAATGATCAAGTATTAGGTAATGGGAAACACTGAAGAGCTTCTATTAAAATAGGAGAAGGCAACTTTTTGAACATATCTGGAATTTTAATATGTTAATAATGCTCTCACAAAATGGCTGCCATTGTGGGATGACTGATCACAAAACAGCCATTTACCAAGAAGACATACCAATAAGGTTGTTCACAGCTATATCCTGTAATCCCCCAAGATGTTGTCCATTTCTCAGCTTCTCTTTGTCTCTTTTCCAAGGCAGGTGGGCACATTTCCAAACAAAGCAATGGGCTGAAGCCTTACTCAACTGTTATTTTTTTAAAGAATCCCACAGGAGGCAGAGATCTTCTTTGAAAGAAGGATGAAGCTGAACGCTGATTCTTTGCTTCTTTCTGATTTAGAAAGACATGCAGTCTGAGCTCTAGCATCTGTGGCTAATTCTTCATATGTCACTCCTAAAATGTCTGAAGAAAAATGAGTGACAGAGCCTTTAAATACTGCAGAATTATTTTTTCTCCCTGGTCAGTTCTGTGAAGTTCACATATTCCACAATTTTGGGGGAAGAGATCAGAGGATGCAGACATTTTGCTTCTGTGTTATGCATTGTCCAGCATTTTTGCTCTCTGGCTAATAAAATTTGCTTGGTATGACTAGGAGCAGTTTGGGGACTGATGCTTGATATGAAACCTCATTATATCATACTTGAAAAAGTTCCTCTAAAACCATTTATAGAAATCTAGATGCAACAGGGTTGAGCCGAAAGTTAGTCCTAAATGAAAATTGTTGACTCAAAATTTAAATGTAGGCTAGAAATGGAGAAAAAGTTGCATTTTAAACAGAAAACAATGTTGAATGAAAGAAAACAATACCACCATCTCTGGAGAAATTAACTGAAAAACACTTCTCTGCACGAGAGAGAAATCAAGAAAGCTCACAGGGCAGACTGTTCCTTTTAGCAGAAGCTTGGCCGACTCAGAACCAGGCCTCTCATATGCATCCTAATTTGTATGCTTCTTGAAGAGCAGATGTTTGGCTTGTAGCCCACAAACAAAGGGATGCTCCCTTGCTCTGCATACACATGCTCTGAGTATTCACAATAAAATGTATTTGCCTTAGAACATGAGAAGAGTAAACATTGCTATTCATTGGGCAATCCTGACGTATGCATTTCCAAAACAAATAGGCTTTAAACATTGTACAAATGTTTACCTGATCCAGATCCAGCTATTTTAGTTCCATAAGTGGCTGACTGAATTGAGGCAAATAAATCTTGTGCCATTTAAGCATTATCTGCAATTTGTGGAAAATGAATAAATAAACACAATGTGTTCCAAAGAGACTAACCACTATTTATAATGAAAATTCCATTTCCCTTAAGCCCTATCATTCCATCCCCACATAAATAAAACTGCTAAATACCCAGATATGCTCACACATAATCGGGGTTTGGGGAAGGGGCTTCATACTAGAGATATGACTTCAACTTGCCTTTTCCTGAAAGTTTATTGAATCTGCTTCCTGGATGAAGGGATATCCCAGACACATCTTCAGAATTCACACACAGCCTAAATCCAATCCTCTTTTTAAAAATTGTACCTTGTATTTGTACCTTTTTATTGAAAATGATGGAGAGTACAGTATAGGATTTATTGCAATAAACTTGAAGGTCCAAACCAGAATTATTTAGATTAGAGACATAGGATTGTCCAATGTGAATGAAGTATTCATATATTAAGGACAGTGTAAAAAGCCATGTAGAAGCACCTTGAGCAGTTATATTGTCATATTAAATTCATGGGTAATGAAATAAACCATTTAAACATTAATATATGAAGTGAAGAGCCATTTCTGCTGATTTAAGTCTGTTATTGCCCTTGTTCCTTCTCTGGTATGCTAATGGCTGATAGAATTGATATTGGATATATAATTAGAACTGTTTATATGCAGTTTCACATATATTCCTACAGTGAATTTCAGCTATGTAAGGACTCAACATTCTCTTTAACACAATAGCGTTTTATGTATAACTTCTTACCCTTCTCCATAAGTGTATTAGAAAATTTAATCATGTCAATAGAAGAGTTGTGCAAATATAAATCATATTTAATTGTATCATAAGCAAATATAGTTCTGTCAACAAAAGATAATAGAATTAGGCCAACATAGTGTTTTCTGGACAATTGTAATTCAAGAGTTGGATCAAAATCCAGCAGAAGGATCAAGATGTTACTATTTAACAAATTACATAACATGTACTCGCCTCCCTCTTTTTACCAATAAAGGAATTGAGTGGAGTTGGTACAACTATAGACAGATGGGAAAAGTTGCACTCTCTCCCCATTTCCAAATTCTCCTATGCATGGGAGTTTTAAAAAAAGAAAATAAATCTTAATTGATATATTTGAATATCAGTTAAATTATTGATCAAGCAAAACAGAAAGCAACAAATATATTTTATGAATTATATTTTCATGTTGCATT